TGGTATCCTAGTAACATATTCGGGTTGCCTACAGAATCGATTTGCCACACTTTTCGCAATAATCAATGATTTTCCCTAGTTTGATATTCGAATTATGGAACCTAGATGTCGCTTTCATTATTTGAATAGAAGTATTGTTATTCACTACGAAAAAGCTACTGTGACAGCTACTGACCACGAGAGGGCGATCCTGGTACGATGTCGGTATTTAATGTAGTTACCAACGAAACTTGGTAGCAGTCGGTGACAAACCAGTCGGCTTTTTAATTGAACTTAATTTTGGCGTACATCCCGACTTCGATATGACTCAACCAACTGCTTGTCAGCGTCTGCTAGCTACCCAATTCTGTTGATGCATTTTTAATATTCACATCAAATACTGACGTACTGCCATTGCCCTCTAGTGGTCAGGGTAGGTACTAGAAATTTTAGCCTACCAACACCAAAACGCTTATCTGTTATATCTTATCTCCAGTAGGTGTCACTGATAGTCTACTTTCAATAATATCAACGACGAACACCATAATTATAAATATATCTTGAAGATGTCGTCAGGGTAACAATTTCCGTCACGGTTTCCGATTGTGTCGAAGACAAAGACAAGTCAATATATTGCTCATACGATAAAAAATGACGAACGCGCAACTAGGACCGGTTTATTGGATGATTCTTCTGCCGTTCAGAGGTTGGGACGAGTTTTTTTTAGTGAATGCGGTTTGCTGCCATGCAACTAAAACGATTTCGTTGTACCATGACCTGATTTTGAGTGCAACTCGTACTAGTCGGACTGAAAACGTAGGGGTGATACCCAAAATGATTTCTGCGATGAGCACTCTTACGAGGACGTTTACCAAGGCCATGGCCTCAGATGATATCTTGTTTATTTGGTTTGTGCGTAGGATTGCAATCGCCGGAATTGGTCGTGCATTTTTCGGTCTGTTTTCTCGTTGTTCTCTAGAATTAAGGTTAATTCTAATTCGAATAACGAATTCTAATTCCGAATACCCGAACATTTTCACAACTTGTTTCTCAAGTGAACCAAACCCAAATTCATTTTCTTTGGTTCGCTTTTGTCCTTCTATTAATTGGTAGTCATCGCTTCCCAATTGGGCACCTTTGGCCAACATCTTTTTTGATTCTAAAGCTAGCAGTTTCAAACCGGCCATAGGGCTGTAGCAACTTAGGCCAAAATAAAAAAGAAAAGAAGAAGAGGCTCTTGATTAGGGGACCATTGTCACAAGGTGGCGTTATAACGGAAACAAAATTTCCATCACATTCTTAAGGAGAACAAATAATGGTCTAAGAGAAATATACAATTTTATGAATTATACAAAATATTGTACGACAAGAATATTTCACTTCCCCAAATATGTCAGACCATTTTGATATTGAATGCATTGTTTTTAACATTTTCTTCGAATGTATGGAATGGAGCAGAAAATATTCAAGAGCGCGCTTATTTGCTTTCTCCTGTCAACATACAAAACGTAACCTCAGTTTTAACTGAACTTATTTTGTGTGGATTTTCAGTATATTTGCGCGATAATCAAGTACGAAGGGTTATTTTTCTTCAATAAAAAAATACGTGAATGTGGCCTATTCGATGACAGGTTGAGAAATTGATGCGTTAGAAATTGATGTTTCTATTGAAAAAAGTTGATGAATTCCATGAATGCTGTTCAGTTTACTAATTACCGTCTTTTTCATCTCTGTGAAAAAATATTACAGTAACTACGAATATTTAAATATTTAGTGACTACGTTCTTTATGGAAAACCCAGTATTTTCCTTATGCCTGACTTTTCGAATTACAATACCTAGATGTCGCCCACTATGTAGTCCTGAGTAATCAGGATGCGAGTGCAGCATTGTCCGAAAGATGGCGCTGCAAACCCCCAGGAAAACAACAAAAATG